ATTTAATATTGAATTCAATTTTCTAAGGTATGATTTTTAAAAAGTCCTTAGATGACTTGCTAAGTGCTAATTAATAATAGACTTTCTTTTGGAACTGAATTCTATGATAAATATTCTTTTTTTATCAATCAAATAAAATATATTTCCTATATTGTAAAGGCTCACTATAGTCACTTTATTTATATCCTACTTTCAAAAATTTACATTAATTCCTCAGGAAATGAAGTGTTTCTTTTCTTACCCCCTACCTCTGTCCCATAATAACAAGTGTGATATTAAATAGATTACTAGAAATCCTTAATTTACAAAGAGGTTTTGTTCTAAATGTTTAGTTGTAAAGTGATTGACATTCTAAATATATTTTGCTAAAGAAATCATTTTATAAGCAATTGTTGGATTTTGAAGCCCAACAACAAAAGTCAAATTAACATATAATGTACACCACTACTAAAAGCCGTTCCTTTTACCCACGTTGGTTGCTATTACTGCCAAGGGAACACTAGGGAGAAGAGAAGAACGACTATTTTAGCACATCAGTGGGTTTGATTCTAGAAGAAAAGAACAGATGAAAAGTAGAGATAATCTAAGGGAGAATTAATCAGTTCTTTAATTCAACAGATGTTTTTCAAGCACCTACTAAGTGCAGCTTACATAGATCCAGAATGCTTCTCCTCATGAACCTTAAGTTCTTAGAGTATTGTAGACATTCCTGGATAGAAATGGATACAATTACCTAGGGAATAGGTACAGTGAGGAGGAAGGCCATCGTTAGGCTGAATGCCTTCAAACTATCCAATTTCTCCCTTAACATTTTCTGAATTTTTTTACTTTCTTGCATGGCCATAAGTCCCACATTTTGGAGATTAATTTGCATTAGAAATCTTAAAGCATATCAGTATTTTTGATAATATTATAAAACCAATATCCATTTATTCTGATTTAACCTGATTGTTTTCTTTTGACTCCCATCTGAAATCAAGGATAATGGGGAATTGGAATTTACTCAATTTGAGAGCATGAAATCTTTTGAAAAGGAGGGGTACATGAAAAAGGCTTGGTGAGCTGCTTTTAGGTGGGTTCTAGAGATGAACTACCTTGGAAAATCCTTGATTTAGTAAAACAACAGTTAAGAATTCAGTAGATTTTATATTTTATAAAACAGCTTTAAGTAAAAGAAAGAAAGAAATAGCAACCTAATGACAATACCCAACACATTTCCAAGAAGTTGTATATTTTATATAAATGGGCTACACTCAGTGTAATTACATTACTCAGGTCTTAGTTCAAATGTTCCTTTTCAGGAAGACCTTTCTTATTGAAAGTAGCTTCCCTCAGAGACTTTTTGTAAATTTACCCTGTTTCAATCTTCCTTTATAGTACTTATCACTGTATGGAATTACTTTATTTACTGCTTAATTTATTTGCTTATTGTTTGTCTCCTCTACTAGAAAGAAAGCTTATTGAAGGCAGGGACCTTATGTGTCTTTTCTTGATTGAATTTCCAGCAACCAGAATTAGCTGGCACATATTAAGCCCTAAATAAATATTTGTTGAGTGAATGAATTAATACTGGAACTACAATGGTATAATTGACACAGTCCTTTAAGGTTCAAAATTTAAAGTCTAATGGACAGTACAGAACACCAATTAGGTAATTGTAAATAGGATGGGGTAGTATATGTTGGAGAAATACAGAGGCACAAAAGTGAGCTCTGTTGACCTGATCTTGCTGGTCTATAGTAATGAGGTAATACTGCTTTCAAAATTTATATACATACATACAATTTTAAAATTTCCTATTCAATCCAGACTGGATTTTAGAGAAATTAGAACTTCCTTAAACAATGAGGGCATGGTCAAGATGGGTGAAGGAGAGTGGGAGATACAGGCTTCTAGTTACAGAAGAATAAATCACAGGAATAAAAGGCACAGAAAAAAAAAGTTTTAAAAATAAATGAAGTTTAAAAAATTGCTTTCTTATATACCATATAAATCTGAGAAACACTAGAATCTTACTCTTGGAACAGAATCAATTTCTAGATATTAAATTTGGTTAATGAGTAACCTATATTTTTGGAGACAAATATATTTATTAACTTAGATTGGAAAAAAATAACATACTGAAATGTATTTGAATTCCTAACATAAAGTCTGCATCTAAGGGAGGTTAGATGGTCAGTTTAGAAGAACTGATGTAGAGCACCTGGGTGGCTCAGTTGGTTAAGTGTCTGCCTCAGGTCAGGTCTTGACCCCAGGGTCCTGGGATTGAGCCCCACGTCGGACTCCCTGCTCAGCGGGGAGCCTGCTTCTCCCTCTTCTTCTGCCTTTCCCCTCCTGCTCGTACACAATCTCTCTCTCTCTCTCAAATAAGTAAATAAATAAAATAAAATCTTTTTTAAAAAACCTGATGTAATTATTTTTTAGAGTTTTCTAGAGAAACTCTCATTTATCTCATTTTTTAATATAGTAAGTATATATAAATAGCCAGTTAATGAGATGTGATTTGTTGAAAATTGGCACCAGTTAATTATATCTTGCCAGAAGTATTATTTTTTACTCTCCTTAAAGCTTTCATTTAGGCACACTAACTTGATGAAGTTATGGTAGATCATAACTTAATCGACTGAGCCACCCAGGTGCCCCACATTTCCTTATTCTAATCTATATTATAGTAGGCAGTGTTTAGTTCTTGCCTAATACGTATGTGTTAAAATAATATATGAGTCAATGTGTATAATCTATGTTTCTCACTTTAAAATATAGACTCTCAAAGATTAACTGGCCGTATAGGTTCAAATAACTGGGTAATAACAAAAGTAGGACTAAGAAACCCAGAGCCCTTGATTCTGTTCTTCTTTTTACATTGCCACCGTGCTGAAGTATTTTTTCCTTTAGTCATATATATGAAAAATGACAAAAAAGTAAAATGATTTATGCCTAACAGATACACATATAGGATACTATGTAGGTCAATACTCTAAAATTTATTTTGAGTGCTCTGTTTTGATTGTATATTTTAAAATATAGGAGTCTATGGTTTTACGTAACAGTTGTAACTGAAAAGAGTTGTTTTCAAGTCCTAAATGTATTATATGCAGACATAAGACATAAATGTAAAAAAAGAAATCACATCCACTTGCCTAATCATAAAACAGACTAGTTCCTTCATTTTCTGGCTCAGGGTAGTCTCCCCAGGCTGTGCACCTGTGTGACACTGGAAGGTGGGGGACTTACCGAAGGCGTTACTGTCGAGCTGCAGTTGTTGGCGGGCACATAGGATGTGAAAGTCTCAGTGGCTCCTGGCAAGCTCTTCTTCATGGACCACCCTACTGCTCTCGGCAGCTGAGATAACTGGTGGCAAATTCCCAATGACTCTTGAGCTTCACAGCAGCTTCCTAAAGAACCTTTTGAGAACCCTTGTCTTTGGCTCTGCAGGCTAAGAACAAGATCATTAACTTCTCTGGCCTTCATGGCCGGTGCAGTTGCATAGCTCTTGATAACTGTATTAAAACCCTTACTGCCTGGAAAACCTAGAGTGACTTCTGTTTTTATTAACAAATCTTGATCGGCACGTTGGCAGGCTGTATCTCAGATACAGGGGAGATTCGGTGACATGGGAGACTTTAGAGGAGAATGATGCTGTTGCCGGGTTGGGTCATTCCACATGTAGCCTTTCTCTGCTTTTGCTTTTAGCCTCCCCCCCACCCCCCGCCCAAATAACATCTAAGAAATTCACAACTGAACTATCTAATGTCGGTCATCTTGAACTTCAACTGACCTCACTTTTTATTATCTCCTGTTCATATGGCCTGGCAAAAATCCCTGTAACAGATATTCTGAACTTCTGTCATCTTCAGGAGTCTGGTCCCACTGCTTTTCATGGCTAGTGGTTGACGCTATCTGGGTTCATACCAGAGAAGAGGTCAGTGTGAATATTTTGTTGACAAAGAGTATTATTATGATAACAAGGTCCACTGTGTTGTACCAGTGTTAGAGGGGCAGGTTGAGAACTTAATATACGGTCTCTTCATCTGAGGCTATAAGGAAGTATGTGGGGTCAGATGTGAAGACTAAGACAAGTGCCATTGAGCTGTCCTTAATCTCAATGAAATAGTATAAAAATAGCAGTCCCTTCTGACTTCTACAAAGACTTCATGTGTGTGTGTGATGAATAAGTCATTATTGTTGTTATTTATTTAAATTGCTTATCTCAAGTTAGAGCAATAAAGAAGGGTTGGAGGTATATTGATTTAGATGAACAAATAATAGGAGTGATCTAGGTAGCTGATGAATGAAAAATGATTTTTTAAAAAAGATTTTATTCACTTATTTATTTGAGAGAGAGAGTGGGGAGAAGAGCAGATGGAGAGGGACAAGTAGACTCTGCACCTAGCACAGAGCGGGACATGGGGCTCGATCTCACAACCCCAAGGTCATAACCTGAGCCGAAACCAAGCATTGGATGCTTAACCAACTGAGCCACCCAGGGGCCCCTATGAAAAATGATTTTTAAGAGCCAGCATTTAATTTTAGTCAGAAAGTATTCAACTCTGGAACCAAATTAGTTTGGCATCATTATGTTTTCAAGTGACTTTATATCAAGGTGTCAGGAATAGAGAGAATGTCAGGTGGAGTTTTTCAAAGCTTCTGAATAGCCGTTGGGAGATTGTTGAAGTGTATTGAGCCAAGCAAAGAAATTATAGAAAAGTCCATTTTGCAGCAGCAGAGTATGTTGCTATCTTATTTCAGGGCATAGGTATATTCCATATGTAGTGTGCCAGGCATTAAAGAACCATATCAAAAATACCTTTTAAATTTCCTATTTGAACTGAATAAAATGAATATTAGTAAAACTTTTGTTAAGCATGACTTTAAAAAGAATTTTTTTAAAAAGCAAAAGAACTATTTGAATTTAATTCATCAACCCACCAGTGAATTAATAAAATGTTGAATTGTTTAGATGTTGCTCTTCTCATCATTCTTTTCCTTTGCTTACTTAGGACACGAAGTCCATCAGTATCCAGAGATCAGAATAGAAGATACGACCAAAGAGAAGAACAAGAAGAATATCCACAGTATGCTACTTCAGATAACACCATGCCTAGATCTCCATCAGATTATGCTGATAGGAGGTCTCAGCGTGAACCTCAGTTTTATGAAGAATCTGACCATGTAAATTACAGGGACTCCAACAGGAGAAGTCATAGGCATTCCAAAGAATACATTGTAGATGATGAGGATGCGGAGAGCAGAGATGAGTATGAAAGGCAAAGGAGAGAGGAAGAATACCAGGCGCGCTATCGAAGTGACCCAAATTTGGCCCGTTATCCAGTAAAGCCACAACCCTATGAAGAACAAATGCGTATTCATGCGGAAGTGTCCAGAGCAAGGCATGAGAGAAGGCATAGTGATGTTTCTTTGGCAAATGCTGAGCTGGAAGATTCTAGGATTTCTATGCTGAGGATGGACCGACCATCAAGGCAGAGATCTATATCTGAACGTAGAGCTGCCATGGAAAATCAGCGATCTTACTCAATGGAAAGAACTCGAGAGGCTCAGGGACCAAGTTCTTATCCACAAAGGACCACAAACCATAGTCCTCCCACCCCCCGGAGGAGTCCAATACCCATTGATAGACCAGACATGAGACGTACTGACTCACTGAGGAAACAACACCACTTAGATCCTAGCTCTGCTGTGAGGAAAACAAAACGGGAAAAGATGGAAACAATGTTAAGGAATGATTCTCTCAGTTCTGATCAGTCAGAGTCTGTGAGACCTCCACCACCAAAGCCTCATAAATCAAAGAAGGGAGGTAAAATGCGCCAGGTTTCATTGAGCAGTTCAGAGGAGGAATTAGCTTCCACACCTGAATATACAAGTTGTGATGACGTTGAGATTGAAAGTGAGAGTGTAAGTGAAAAAGGTAAGTACTGTCTTCTAATCACACTTTCCCTATAGTTGATTCCCTGGAGGCTTTCTTTTTAGGTTGTATTTGTGATAAACCCTTAATAGTTAGAGATTACTACCTTTATTTTAAAAGTTTCTTAATGGTGCCAGTTATGTGAAGAAAGTTTCAAGTTTTTAAAAGTAAATATCTTCTGTTGTTCATGTGGAAGAGAAGTTTACTGATTTTTTTAAAAAAAACTTTTTGTTTCTGAAAATTTTCTTGCATCACTTCATGGTGTATTAAAAAATATCTATTAGCTATAGTTGTAAAATAACATTCTGTATGTGTTTCCTTTTACAAATAGCAATGTATTTACTATAGAATATCTGAAAAATTCTTCAGTGTAAAGAATGAAATACAAACTATCCATAATCTTTCCCCCCAAATCTAACCGTTGTTAACATTTTATTCTATTTTCTTCCCTTTTTCCTATGCATGTATATTTCACGTATTTATAAAATTGATATCATGCTACACATAATTTGTATTCTGATTTTTTCAATTGATATCATATCATTAACTTTTTTCCAAGCCATTAGTTGTTCTTTAGAAATACGTTTTAAAAATGGCTGCACTAATAGTCTATCATATTATCATATGGATGTACCACAAACTATTCCTTTATTTGGGGGTGTTGCAGTTGCTTCCAGTTGCTAGCACAAATAATATTCTAATGGTTATCTTTATATAAGAATTTTAATATATATTCATGCTTTGATTCTTACAAGCTTTTGGTTCAGAATACCAACTTGCTTTCCAGGAAGGTTATAACGCTCCATACTCCTGTCAGAAGTTAAAGTTTTCAGTCTCAAAGCACCAAATCTTTGCAGTTGAATAGGCCACAAAAATGCTGTCTCTTTGTCATTTTAATTTGAATTTGATTGTGCAGTTGACTGTTTTGTATTTTATTGGTGTGTGATATCTTCTATGAATTACCTGTTCATTCCTGTTATTTCTTCTGCCCATGTTCCTATTGGGTATTAATTAGTTTTTCTATTACTGATTTATAAGAGCTTTTTATACAGTTAGGATTTTTACCCATTTAACTGTCATGTTTCAAGTGTATTTCCCATATTGATGTTTATCTACTAATTTTCTGTGGTCACTTGGGAATATTGAATTTAATATAGCTGTCTTTGCATCTTTGGTGATTTTTTCCCATTTTTTTATCCATAGAAACTCTTTATTCATCCCCAAGTCAGTTAACTATTTAGCTGTGTATTTTCTCATGTTTTTATTATTAGCTTTTAACCTTTAACTTCTTAATCTTTCTGTAATTTATTTTGGTATATGCCAAAATATACCAGATATGTGAGCATCTAACATGAATCTCCTGTACGACCCACCTCTTGCCCACCACACACAGTTTTCTGACACCATTTGATGAATAATCGACTTCTTCATAAGAATCAACAGGGATCAATAAAGGAATTCAAGAAGGCAGCTAGATATGAAATTAATATGCAATCATTTTGTGCTGTCCCAAAAATAGTTAGAAAAGTGAATGAAAAGCAGTTCCCATTCTGAGCTAAAAACAGAAATGTGATTTAAAAATAACTAATAAGAAATGAGGGGGGCCTAGATGAAGAAAGCTATAAAACTTACTGAGTAACATAAAGGACGATAGATAGTCATTGAGTGAGTAGATATTCATTTCATGTTCCTGATTGGGATGGCTAAATATTATAAAGATGCATGTTCTTTCTAAGCAATGTCTTGGGGTTAAGGCCATTCTAGTTATAATCCCAATTGATGCCTATATTTTAGTTCTACAAATTACTCTGGAAGGTGTACAGAGAAAAAAACTTAACTCTTTTTTCCCCCCTCTATGCCTTTTAGGCTCATTGGGGCAGGGGATTGACAAAAGACGGATTAACAAGAAAAATATTTAGTTTATTATCATGTTCATTATGCGTACATGTGGGAGCTTTCAGCTACCTGAAACTTAAAGGGGTGGTTAGAATTTGTGCTTATATAGTCTCTTTACAGAAGAACAATAGATTTTTAGAGAGATGACAAGACAAAGAAAAAGGACTTTGAGTTTCTAGGGTAGCAAATCATGGGAAGGTGAGTGTATGAGGGAACTGATGGAAGGTAAGGGCTAGCTGGTAAAGTTTGTTATGTAGACTTCTCCAGAGCCATCTCTTGCCTGCTAAAGAGCAATTAACTTCTGTCCTTCCTTATAGAGGGCAGGGGAGACACCTTTACAATTTATGTCCTGCTTTTAGGCAAATGGGAGGGTATGCAGTTTTCTTGTATTTGCTTCTTCTCAGGTGCCTTCTGCTGAAAATAATCCTTATACCAAAATGCATATTAGAACAAATAAATAATAAGAACATAGAAAGTGCCGCAAACCAAAGGGGAAGAGATCAGTTATTCAACAAATGGGCTTGGGGAAGATGCATATACAGTGAAAAAAGAAAACCAAGTTAGAGCCTCATTTTATAGAAGTTGCATTGAGATTATAAATAATAAGAAAATTGTGTTTATTAAAATAGAAAGATCTAGAAGGAGAAACTGTGGATCTTTATTTTATCATAGGACATATAGAAAGTTTATTTCCCAGAAACTGTAATACTTTGTTAGGTATCATTAATAATTTTTAATTTGGTTGTTTTCCATAGTTGCCTGAGTATATAATAATACTAAAAGGTGAGAAAAAGATAGCTTGGTTATCTTTAGTGGATTAGTTTAGATTCTCTTATATACTTCTGTTATTCTTTGCTAAAGTAATGCCTTCAGTTTTACCACTTAAAGATGTAAAAAACACATAAAAATCTCACATAAATAAAAAGCTATACATGAGTTGAATTAAAATCTTACATAATGCTAGTTAGCAGAACTTAAAAAACATTTATCAAATATGGAGAGAAACTTAATGTCCCTCACGTCTGTATCCACCCTGTCTTGAACTCCTAGTAGATGCTGAGAGATGGTTGTTCTTCTCATCTGCCTAATAATCTGCATCACAGGGTGTGGTTTCTGGTCATAATTTACTTCAGCTTTGGAGGAAGAAATTTAAGTAAAACAAACTTTTCCTATTGGATGTTACCCTGGTGGTAATATCCAGTGATATGAAGCTATAGCTGTTGAGAGACCGGGACAGAGATTAAATTTTGTCATACCTTGGCTTTTCATCAAGAGAGAAGCACTTTTGGTTATTTGTGGAAACAGTATCAGTCTAATTTTGGAATAAGCTACTCATTAAGATATCTAGCATTGTGATCCATAGCCATCATTGGTAGTTAACTAATGTTTGAAAATTCCTTCTAGTAATTAGAGAAGTTTTATTAGCAGCATTTTTTCCCTGTATGCTTATATGTGGATATATCATTTTGATGAGGATCAACCAACTTTTAAAAGATAGTTATCTCTTTGCTTTATTATCTCTAGGCTAAATGACCCCAAAGAAGGTGTTTAAAACCTGAGACATCTTTCTCATTGTCTTTACATTTCTGTCTCTTTTCATGTTTGTGCACAACTTTTCAAAAATGTGCAAAGCAGATTTGGATCAAGTAATGTAAAGTGTTAACCAGCATTGCATAGATAGATAGCACCAGGCAGCATTATTATTGCAGAAGGAGTCTTTGCTGGCCCTTGTATGTCATATTATAGCTTCTACTACATAGCAGGATCTTTCCTGATTTTTTTAAAATAATGAAATCTATAATCCACAACAAGCTTATAGGCTTATATAGTTTACTTAAGTATAGTTTACTTAATTTATTTTCTTTGCTGTCCTATTGGCTAGCCTTTTTTTTTTTTTAACTTACACTTTATTGGTGCTTTGGTGGCTTTGGCTCTTCTTACTCATTTGTCATTTGTCTCTGTGAATAGATCTAATTTTAAATATACAGAATTTCACCGAAATTTATAGTAGATGTCATTTCATTCACCATGTTTTATTGAATGATGCTGATAATTACAATTTATGAGTGATTAGGCCATTGTTGTGAAACAGTAACAGGGTTTTATGGAAAGAGCATGGGTTTTAGAGTCAAAGTCCTGACTGTGAAATTCATTAACTCCATGATCTTCTTCTACCTATTTAACCACTCTTGGTCTGTTTCCTCATCTATAAATATAATAGGATGTTCATTGTCTGGTAATTTGTCAAACAGTAGATAGTAAAAACATTTTTAGATTATTTATTTAATGTTTTATGATAGTCAACAATAGCTAAGACTTCTTCGAGACAGCCTTCAAGAGTTTGGAATGAACGTATAGTCATGGTTACATGGATTATGGTCATTTATGTTGATTTCAGCTCTTCTATGATCTGCCACATGTTGAACTAGGCTTGTATTTTTAGGCTAAGAAGAATATACTTTTTAACCATTGAGATACAATTTTGAGATATAAATCAGTGTGTTACTAAATATTAGACATCTATTCCCTTTTTGGCCAAATGCTTTTTAGTGTCTATTATTTGCAAGATGTTAGATTGGACCTAGTAGAAAATATAGAGATGAATAAGACACAGTTTCTTCCCTTAAGAAATTGAGAGTCTAAAATAACTAGCAATATAAGCCCATTGTATTACAGATACTATAAGGACTTCAGAAGGAGAGGCATTGGTTATCTCCACTAATTTTATGTGATTTCTATGTTTTGTAACACTTGTCTCTTAACCATGATATAGTTTGCTCTTTACAATGCTGTAGTGTATCTTCCTCATATTTTGTGTTGGGTTAGAAAATTGCAAACTGATTTTTTCTTTTTTTTGTCTTCAGATTATGGAAAGAGATATGTCTTAGATTGCTGATGTCATAGTATCTCTGAATCTAATTGCTAGACATCTCTCTCAAAGTTTAAAATATATTTTTTTCCTAAGGTTTAAAAAGAAATATTGACCTTCCAGTCTTATCTATGATTTCCTTATTAAATAGTCTAGAGCACATTTCTCAGTTTCAGTACTATTGACATTTGGGGCTAGATAATTGTTTTGCAGGACTGTCTTGTGCATTATAAGGTGC